TTTTAATTTCAGTTTAAAGTAATTTGGCTGTAATTATTAAGTTTGGCTATTTATTAAGTCAACTGGATAATATATAACAAACAATAACTTTCTACATGAAACGTTAAGAAAATTCTTTTCAGTGAAATTTTAACTTCTTTATTTCACAATGAACTACATTACAAGACGTAACACAATTGTTCTCTTTTATTAACAGATGATTTACTATTAACGAAAATCGCCATTTCTTGCCGTTTAAATATATTGAAAGTTGTTTCACGCAATGACCTGCTTATACTGTATTAGTTATATTATACAACTTACATTTAAAGCAACATATTACCATACGAAAAAATAAATATATATATATATGTTACCGCTAAAGCTCGAAATCCGTTAATGTACGCATTACCTAGCTAATCTGCAGATTAACTAGGGTGATCCGTTAAAGCTGCGAAAATTATTTCATTTCTCAAATTACCTAGGTAATGTTCAGATTATCTAGGTAATCTGCAAATTACCTACTAGGCACTCGGTAAAGTGAAAATAAGATTTTTGCTGGAACAACAGCAACGTTTCTGTACGCTTAAATTAACATAATGTTATTTATTTAATTTTCAATATCTAAAGAATCAAGTTAATACAATCAACAAATTAGTTGATTGAATCAATCATCAATCAATTAAAAAAANATCCTTTTACGTATTGATCGTTTGGTTGAGCCAATATAGACTAAGTCCCTTTGGAATGTATTGTCTCTTAGAGGTATAGAATGGGGCTATGGTTTGATCCATTTTATCTTTTGCGTCGCATAGCAACTTGTATATTGTACCAATCTCCTGTATGCAATTTCTGTGCTACTCTGGCTTGCAATCTCTTTGTATAAGGATTTGAAATGTTGATTGAACAGTACTATGGTGCTCCTGGAGCCTGTGATGTGTTGTTTGTTTCTGTTAGAAGCAGACTGGGTGTTGGGACTGTTGTGTGTGGCAAACTGGTTGGCATAGGCATAGGCATAGGCTAAACCAATATGCCGCACACAACTCATTTCCACTCTGGCTCAACAGGGGCTGAGTGGAAATCAGTGTGTATTACAAACCAGGTTATGTACCACCATTCATCCCAGCAAATTCGTCTGACCCCTCATCATATAAAATTGCCACTTTCTGTGCCCCAACCAGACAGGTATACACTCATCACACCAATAAGCACAATGCTATACTTGAGCTACAACGTATCAAAGAGGAAGATATAGTGGTAGAACATGGCTACAGAAGAGACCTGGTACATGGTTTAGCCCGTACCTACACAAACCAATTTGCCATATACAATGGTCCCAACACTCAATCTGCTTCTAACGGAAATGAACAATGCATCACTGGCTCTATCATCCGGAAGTTTGGAAAATTTAGCATTTTTTTTTAACTGGCATCATTCACACAATACATTTGCAGAGTTGAAACTGTCAGCTTGCCAGCACTACAGGGGTTGTAATCAGGGCAACTGCCCTGGTCCTCTCAATATTAGGGGCCTCAACTTGGCAACTCAATATGTTAGACAAAAATATAGGAGAAGGCAAAGCGATGTCATGGCTTGTAGAATGTCCTTAATTTTAGTTAAATTCGCCAAAAAAATATTTGAGAAAACTTCTAATTTTTAATATAGAAAACACTTTTTGCCTCAACTGTCCATAGCTAAAGCAGGTATAGAATTTATAATCAAACTAAAAGACCCCTAGCTGGAAAATAAAGCCTTGTCGGTGTTTGGCACCAGTAAAACAATAACAGAATACAGTATATAGGCCTTTCTGAAATCCCTCATAATACCTCTGAAATCCTTCTGAATGTAAAAAAATTGCAACCAAAAATGAAATAACTCCAGAATTTGAAATAAATTGTCTATTAAAAGACTAAAAATCTGCTGAAGAATATTTTCATTTAAATGTTTTTAACAAAATTATCAATTCAATAGTAGATGAACTTGTGTGTCGATTTCAAGCAATTTTTTGAAGTTTTATGGAAATTTAATGAAATGGATGAAGAGAATGTAGTTTCAAAGGCAGAATTATTGCTAGAGAAATATAAAAATGAAATAAGTGACAAAATTGTAGAAGAACTAACACTGCTGAAGTGTATTTACAAATCCAATTTTAAACTAAGCATGAAACCAACAGAATTACGTAAGGAGATTATCGACATGGGATTCGTAAACATATTTCCCAACATAATGATTGTGCTTTGAATTTTTTAACCTTGCCTGTGAGTATAGCAGAAGGTGAGAGATCATTTAGTGTTCTGAAAAGAATTAAAAACTATCTACGATCGACAATGTGTCAGGAATGATTAAATGGACTAGCAACACTCAACATTAATTACCAGATAGCGCGTATTTTAGACTATTCTGAAATAATCAGTGAATTTGCTAATGTTAAAGCGTGCAAAGCTGCTGTAAAATAATTAAATGTAATAATCCAAAAAAATATTAAATACCATTGACTTTATTTTCTTGTTCATAATTTTATTTTAAATTTTGAAGGGCCTCTAAAATATTAGTTGCCCAGAGCCTCGCATTTTTTCTGAAAGGCCTTGCCTACATGACATTAGTGTACATAGTATTCATATATTTTAGGGATCTTTTGAAAGTATATCAAAAATTGCTAAATTCCTTTTCTGCTACTGTCCAAATTAAGCATTTAAATCAGTGTTTCTCAACCTCTAACGAATCGTCGTCCCCTTCAACGTAGTATTCGCCCCCTTCACTTCAAAACTCCGATGCCGAGGGCCAAGGCTAACGCCAAATTCGTACTGTATTGAATAGACTATTGACTAGTATAATGTTATTTGTTTAATTATTGTACGATATAATGAATAAAATATCCAATTATTCTTATTATAATGTTTTACTATATCGTCCAGAAAATTGTTTTTCGGCCCCCCCAAAATATAAATTGTTACTAGTCGTCCCCTCAACATGGAAAAGTGCCCACATGGGGGGCGATATCATCCACGTTGAGAAACACTGGTTTAAATTATGTATTAGTTTATTAGTTTGGTTTCCTGAGATTTGGCCCAATTAAGCGGAATCGACTGTGTTTGGAATTTGTTTAATATGGGGGTTTTGAACTGATTGTCGGAGTCCGTAAATATTCCTATGACTTACACATGTAAGGTAGAAACATGATTTTAATATTGACTTGTCACTACACTAGCAAATTTTGTTAGGTCTATTACAGATATTTCAATGTGCTCTCTTGTCACCTTGCAGATATAAAGTCAGTGGTACAATTTCTGTCACACACCATAGTATGTCACTTGATTTGGATGGCAGAGCCCAGAGAATACACCAGATTAATACTAATAGTGCAGTTAATAGTTATCTGGCATCTGTCAATGTTTAGAAAGCTCTAGTATTTTTNAAGTATTATATTTACTTAATGCTTATAAATATCATTTATATCTTACAAATGTTTATTTTTCATAAATTATATTTGCATATCTATTTTAAATACAATGTAATTCAATTCAAAAACATATTGACACTACATTAATTTTACTTTCCATAAAAATATTAAAATTAATGTTTGTTTTTTTTTTTAATTTTTGTGAAAAATTATTTACACTTTTATTTTCGGTATTCTTCATAGACTTAATATTTTTTCTACAGATTTTATTTTGCAACAAATCAAAGCCATTGAAATATAGAATTTTATATTTAATCTCTGTCTGCTATGTACAGTACAGTACAGTATTTGTGTGCACATATAAATATATTAAAAATAGCTATTAAAGTTTTACTTATTGGCTGATTATTAAAATTTTAACAGTTTTGAGAAATTTAAAACTTGTGCAATTATAAAATTTGGATGTGTCATTTATCATACAAAAGTTTATTTTATATTGTAGTTATATTTACATTAGTACCAAACGAAAGTTTTGAACTGTTTTGAATAAATATGAGCTATTTATTTATTTTGTTAGTTTACTGATTTTATTGGGCTGCAATTTGAAAAAATTGTAGACCTATAAATTTCTACTGACCTCTGTATCTGTTCTTATTCTCGAGAACGGTGTTAAATAGATGAAAGTCAAGCTCAAATGTAGAAAGCTTACGGAAGGAGGCTCGGATTGACTATATATTAACTTCTGGTGTAGACTGAAAGTTACGTGATTTCAATTCAAAACTTTTCCCCAGCACAGAGTTACATAGATGACCGGCATGACTCTGTTGTTATCGGAAAAAGTATGATGTACAGGGGTAAGACGCTAATAATTTGAGATCCAGACCATAAACTTTAAATTAAATAAATTAAAAATATGATTAAAAATTGCAGCCGGCATTGTGAAAATGTCACAATAATTTTGCTCGATTTATAACTATTTTTAATTTTCCGATTGTTATGTATACATAAGAAGGGAAGGAATTAAAATAGTGACAAATTTGATCCTCCGAGTATTTGCAAATCTGCACGTATGTAGATAAGTTAAACTGAAAAAAAAGTAAAAAAAGTTAGAAAAAATTTTGTGTGCGTTTGGCATGTTTATTATATAATGAGCAATGGTTGTTGATGTTAATGCATAATATGTGTGAACTCAAGCTTGGAAAAATGTGTGATCACAAGCAACACTAAGATGCTGGTGGAACGAGTGTGCTAAACACAGACTGATGGAGCAAGCGCACAATCCGAGACTTCCCTTCTCTTCTTCACTCGTAATGCGAAACATCGCTCACTAAGTTGGTCATTTTTTTTTACAATTTGTTTTGCTTGTTAAGCGAGGTTCCACTGTATACCTCTGATACCTCTGGACTACAAAATTAGTTTTGTATGAGTATTAGTCATAACTTTTTGTTGCGTTATGTGGGAACGCATTATATGGGAGTTTACTCTATACATTTTTAGTATTCATTCATATGCCTGGAAATTGAGACTTCCTCTATTAAGCAGTAAATGAAGAAAATGTAGATTTTTAGAACAGATTTGTGACTGGTTAAAGAAATTGTCTATAAAACTTTATTTGTTTTAGGAAAGACTATGAAAAACGAAAGGGTCAGGAAATAGCAAAAATAAAGGAGTAAGATATTATATTAAATGCTTTTTCTAGATTATTAATTTTTATTATTTTTGCATTTATAATTTCCTTTTTTTTTTGTATTCTAGACAGAAAGAAAAGAAGCAGAAACAAAAAGAAGCACTGCAGAATGAAATGGAAGAACTACAGAACGAGATGGAAGAAGAAAAGGTACGCTTATGTTTAAATGATCACTTTATGGACTCAAACTTAAAATTCAACGCCAAAACAAGTGACAGATTAGAAATTCAAACATTGATGGTCTGTAATTTGACCAAAATCGTTGATTGATTCCTAGTAATCTGTTGATTGTTTTAGTATTGAATTTTAACTTTAAGAAAAGGAAAATTAAGGAAACTGTAAGAAAAGGAACATTAATAGTATTATTTAAAGTGATATAATTCATTATCCAATTACATTTTTCATTTGTAGAATATAAAAGGATGTCTTTTAAAACTAACCGGAGTAACTAAAGAGCTAGATTGGGCAAAAATAAAGGAATTCTTCCGTCCATTTTCGTCTTTGGCATACGTCGAGATTAAAGAAGATAAAGGCGAAGTAAGTATTTAAAACAATAACATTAAATCTTTACTTTCTCTTATATACATTTATGTTTACATTAATTTAGGCCATTTTAAGATTTACTAGTGAAGGGGATGCTAAAGTGGCTCTTGAAAAGGCCATTGCAATGAGGGAGGACAAGAAATTGATTATCAATAATGTGGAAGTGGAAGGCATAGTTTTAGAAGGTAAGTTTTATAGTTATATAACTTAGAAAAAATTGTGGGGTTTTTTTTGTTAAACAATGAATTTAATTTATTGTAGCATTGCTTTAAATTTTTCTATACATTACTTCATATACTTTCTATACAGTACATATTCTTGAATTTTTTTGAAGTAAAAGAAAGGAAGCATTTTTTATGATTATTTACTTGGAACAGTTCTATAGCTAAGGAGTCATTTCATATATATATGGTAACAGTATATGGCTCCTATCATGACAAGGTTTGTCCACCTTTGATATATATATCATATATATCAAAGGTGGTGGTGAAACCTTGTCATGATAGGAGCCATATACTGTATCAGAAATATGTGAAAGTTACATTCTCTATTAGAACAGTATTTATAAATAAAGTTTAAGTTTATAAAAAGATATTGATAAAAGAACTTCATAAACATTATCTCTTGACTAAATCATCACTTTGCCTCCTATGCCATATTTTTGCCATGCTGTTTGTGGAAGTGTATTTAGTTTGACTTGCGTCTAAACATTTATTACCTGTAGATGGCAAAACATGCATTTTTACCAGATTATTTAATAACTCTAACTGGTCAAGATAATGACTGGTGTAAAAGTAAAATTGTAATGTGTGTGGAGTTGATCTGTACGAAGATGACTGAAATTTGTTCTAATCGTTCTTCATGGCCAAAGATAGAATATGGCAACATCTTGTCTTAATAACCCCCAAGTTTTAATTCATAACTACGCAAAAGTGTATAATCATTCAAAGCTCACAGTTTTGTAACAAGTGGGTGAATTGATCCAAACATTCTAATAAAGAGTTCTTCAGAATATATCTTTTCTAGAAAGAGAACTTTAAGTAAGATACATTAAAACAAATTATAGCTCTAGGATGTTGTATTATTGTACTGACTAAAAATGTATTGATGATAGCAAAGGGTTTAATAAATAATTATTTCAAAAAATTGAAAAGACTTCAAATAATCACTGCTGCAACCAATTCGAGACTAGTAAAGATAAGCTTGAAAACTATAACACAAATGTATGTTTTATGATAGTTTTATTGACCATTGCACAGCACCATCAAAGTGCTGAGTGGTAATTTTTCTTTGTAAGTGTTGAAATTGTTTCATTGAAATTGACTTACATCATAGCTTTTCATTAGGTGAACCACTCAAAGGGGCACTTGACAGCTGGGCCCACTCACAGTCACCCAGTTGACTGTGTCCCACTCAAAGTTTGCACTTTTCCCATATTTGGATACACTCGTGTATCAGGTAATGTTATAACTGAATGGAAATGTCACAAATATGGTGCCGAGAAAAACACGCAAGCGCAATCGCGTACATCCGGTATTCCGATATGTCACATGCAAGTTGTCCATAAATAGGCTTTAAGGGAACCACAGTAATGATCTAGAAGAACCACTTGTGGCTTGCAATTCAGTTTGGCTACTGTGGATATATACAGTGGGATGAATAGATGATAACCGATAGACTCATTTGTGGTTTACCCACAAACATTTCTTAGAATCTGATGTAGATTAAAAGCCACAGATCCCCAGAGCATCAGGTCAATGTCAGGAGATTAAAAAGGTTCAGTTGCAGTTCAGAATCTCATAATATGTCATGTTTAATGCAGATTATAACAACATTTCCCCATGTACATTTTGGCCAGCTGCAGTGGCCATAATTATGTCTTTAATCAAACAGTTAGTTAATCAATAATTTGTGTAGATTGTTGAAGTAAAAGATTTGTATGCCATTCTAAAAATTTTTCAGTTATTTTGAGAATGAAGAGATTATAAATTTCATTCTGTTTTATTTTTTTAATAGGTAAAGAAGAAAATGAACACTGGCGATCAGTTCGAAACTCCAGAAATGCAAAATATAAGAAGAAAAATCAAAAAGGTAAAATTTATTTGAAGACCATAAGTTCCTTTGACATTTTTTACTCCTGTGGGTATGGTCTACAGCTCTGATAAAGGTTTCTAGCCACCTCATTCAGAGCTGCAATTTTACCCAATAATGTTTTGTTTAATTACAAAAGTCTTAATATGGAAGAACTACACATTTCAGATACAGTTCACATACAGTGTCTTCCTCTATTCCTGAATGGCCTCTATCCCAGTTGTTTCTTAATATCTTCTGAAGGAACCTGAAATATTGATATTAAATGAATAGTTTATATTATAAAAAATAGATTAGAGATAGTTATCAGTCAATTGTATTTAGAACTTATACATGCTTGGCCCAGAAAAATGTGAGGATACCCATTTTGAAAACTTTTATGTTTGATGATATGAATTTTGAATACTGGCAAACTTTACAATATTATTGTGACTATATGTGATACTCTGTTTCTTCTTACATGTACAGTACCATGTCCGATCCCCCTGACGTTGGTGGTCATCATAGCACAGGGTGATCTCATTTTTGTTTGTGCACCATAGTGATTCCTAGGAAATTGAATACCACAGTGGTTTCCCATTGCCTTCTCTGGATATTTGTTGTTTTGTGGGGAAGAATACTTTACGGGAGGACTTTTTAATTAATTAAGGATAACGCCCATATTCAGGCATTATAGACATAGAGAAAACCCAGAAAACTCCCCATGGCCAGCTTGTCCTGGCGAGGCACAAACCCACAACTGAACTTCTAGTGTTCAGGAACAGAATCACTTGGCCACTGGTGGGCCAAGCTGTTCTGTTGTATTATAGTTAAAATCTATTGATATACAAGCCCAATAGTGGCTGAATGGATGTAACCACTAAACACTTGGTTGTAGGTTCATGCCTGACCATTGAGTCAACATGGAGTCTTCTGAGTCTTCTTCACATGTCTAACACCTAAATACAGGCCAGTGTCCTATTGAAAGTCCTCCTCCCAAGAGGCACCCTCTTAATAGATTGTTCATGTATTGCATTGTCTTATCCCATGAACTCAAATCTAACATTAGTGATAAAAAAGAGGAAGATGAATTATTTAGGTTACACTTATACAATTGCATTTAAAAAGAAAGAAAGAACTGCTATTTTGGAAGGGAAGAGAGTGAGAGGGAAACTGAGAATTAGATAGAAACAGAAGATTGGACTTGTCTTTTCTATAAGGACTGCAGCATGAAAGCTCAAAATAGACATTGGTAAAAATTCAATGTCATCCTCCTAGATGGAGAGATGATAGCTGAAACGTTATCTTACTGACATGATGATGAAATAATTACTAATTTGTGAAATTAGGTATAAATTTTTTAACTGTCTGCCCACGGCAGAAAGAATTAAAAACTTACAAGTTTGCTATAAGCACTAATAAGGCCTCTATTTAGCAAGCTCATTGGGATGGACAGTGGTGAGGGACGAGACCTGCCATATCTGGATACCCTCCGAAAAAATTCCTGGAGATTTTACTCATCTGGATTTTTTGAATCCTCATTCCCAGAGTGGTAGGCTGTCACCTTACAAAAGTACCCAGGGATTATAGAGATGTGGATTAAGCATATTGTTTAAAAAAATTTTTGAACATCTTGTTTTTATAAAGTTTGATTACATGCATTTCATGAAAGAATTATTATATTTAATGTGTTCTTATTTCATTTTTTTTTAATTTTGCATTTAGGGTATTTAGGAAAGAAATCTAAATTTGGCAAACAAAACAGAGATTTTAAAAAGGAGAATGTCAAAGAGAATCAAGATGCTGAAGTGAAAAATACTGAAGAGAATGAAGGTTCCAAAAATGAAAATAGTCAGAAACATAAACTTGGTAAGTTAATACTTGGAGTTAGATGGGTGTTTGGTAAGGTATTAGTGTTTTGCCATGGAAAATCGAGTTTTAAATCCTATCAGATCTCCCTAATTTATTGTGGGTAGTGTAAGTTGGAGCCCATTTTCATTTCTTGCTCCTGTCGACTGAATCAGTAAGTTGGGTTCTATTGTAACAGATGTAATTGTGACCACCAAAGTAGCCTTAATTAACTGATCAAATACAGTCAATTCCACTTAATTGGGACATGTTGGGACTAATCCATTTTGGCCCAATTAAGTGGCTTCCCCAATTAAACAAACTAATAATAAATTTTTAAATAAAATATGTAATATGTAGGTAAAAAAATAATTATTAGGTACTTATTTTAATGTTTTATTAAACCAAAATACAGAAAATATTTGTACTATAAATTTGCCAGACTCATGACCATAGATAACTGATTTTCATTATGCTAGTGTTGCCAGATATTAGTAGTGACGTACATAAGGGTTGACCGTTCAATCCGTTCCTGATAGAACAATCTTTCCTTTCTCCCTTTTTAGTTAGAATGTGTCCAGGTTCTTCCGAAAGTCATCTTACGGCCTCTTTTTTGAGCACAGTTTCTTTTACTTGGAGATGGGCTACTTCACGATACCATCCGTAGAATCTGCCAGCTCCATGATGCTGGTCCCAACAATTGGATGGCTGTTGTCCAAATCATGCACACAATACCTTCTGAAGGAACTGTAGCTGTCTTTCAACTCAGTTGAGAAACCACGAAAAATTGTCTGGGAGCCTTTGTCCCTTCGTTTTTAAGAGGATCATTCAGTCCAATCCAGTACAGGATCAGTAGCTCGCATTCAGGTCCACCTCAGATGGGATTCTGGTATATGTCACGCTATGCTGACTCCCTCCGGAAAAACCGAACTGCCCGAGCAAAAGACAAAATTGCTTTGTTCTCACCAACCGTTAGGCCTACATGCAGGGCCAATCAGAAGGGAGGACAGGAAGGGCAGCTGCCCAGGGCCTTGCAATATTAGGGGCCTCAACTTGGCAACTCAATATGTTAGACAAAAATATAGGAGAAGGCAAAGCGATGTCATGGCTTGTAGAATGTCCTTAATTTTAGTTAAATTCTCCAAAAAAATATTTGAGAAAACTTCTAATTTTTAATATAGAAAACACTTTTTGCCTCAACTGTCCATAGCTAAAGCAGGTATAGAATTTATAATCAAACTAAAAGACCCCTAGATGGAAAATAAAGCCTTGTCGTTGTTTGGCACCAGTAAAACAATAACAGAATACAGCATATAGGCCTTTCTGAAATCCTCATAATACCTCTGAAATCCTTCTGAATGTAAAAAAATTGCAACCAAAAATGAAATAACTCCAGAATTTGAAATAAATTGTCTATTAAAAGACTAAAAATCTGCTGAAGAATATTTTCATTTAAATGTTTTTAACAAAATTATCAATTCAATAGTAGATGGACTTACGTGTCGATTTCAAGCAATTTTTTGAAGTTTTATGGAAATTTAATGAAATGGATGAAGAGAATGTAGTTTCAAAGGCAGAATTATTGCTAGAGAAATATAAAAATGAAATAAGTGACAAAATTGTAGAAGAACTAACACTGCTGAAGTGTATTTACAAATCCAATTTTAAAGTAAGCATGAAACCAACAGAATTACTTAAGGAGATTATCGACATGGGATTCGTAAACATATTTCCCAACATAATGATTGTGCTTTGAATTTTTTTAACCTTGCCTGTGAGTATAGCAGAAGATGAGAGATCATTTAGTGTTCTGAAAAGAATTAAAAACTATCTACAATCGACAATGTGTCAGGAATGATTAAATGGACTAGCAACACTCAACATTAATTACCAGATAGCGCATATTTTAGACTATTCTGAAATAATCAGTGAATTTGCTAATGTTAAAGCGTGCAAAGCTGCTGTAAAATAATTAAATGTAGTAATCCAAAAAAATATCAAATACCATTGACTTTATTTTCTTGTTCATAATTTTATTTTAAATTTTGAAGGGTCTCTAAAATATTAGTTGCCCAGAGCCTCGCATTTTTTCTGAAAGGCCCTGCCTACATGACATTAGTGTACATAGTATTCATATATTTTAGGGATCTTTTGAAAGTATATCAAAAATTGCTAAATTCCTTTTCTGCTACTGTCCCAATTAAGTGTTTAAATCAGTGTTTCTCAACCTCTAATGAATCGTTGTTCCCTTCAACATAGTATCGCCCCCTTCACTTCAAAACGCTGATGCTGAGGGCCAAGGCTAATGCCAAATTCGTACTGTATTGAATAGACTATTGACTAGTATAATGTTATTTGTTTAATTATTGTACGATATAATGAATAAAATATCCAATTATTCTTATTATAATGTTTTACTATATCGTCCAGAAAATTGTTTTTCGGCCCCCCAAAATATAAATTGTTACTAATCGCCCCCTCAACATGGAAAAGTGCCCACATGGGGGCGATATTGCCCACGTTGAGAAACACTGGTTTAAATTATGTATTAGTTTATTAGTTTGGTTTCTTGAGATTTGGCCCAATTAAGCGGAATTGACTGTGTTTGGAATTTGTTTAATACGGGGGTTTTGAACTGATTGTTGGAGTCCGTAAATATTCCTATGACTTACACATGTAAGGTAGAAACATGATTTTAATATTGACTTGTCACTACACTAGCAAATTTTGTTAGGTCTAGTACAAATATTTCATGTGCTCCCCTCTTGTCACCTTGCAGATATAAAGCCAGTAGTACAATTTCTGTCACACATTCCATAGTATGTCACTTGATTTGGATGGCAGAGCCCAGAGAATACACCAGATCAATACTACTAGTGCAGTTAATAGTTATCTGGCATCTGTCAATCTTTAGAAAGCTGTAGTATTTTTTTGGAGTATACACATATTCAAGAAAAACAGCTTTAATTGGATTTATATTGATACAGCTTCCTTTATAAGTATCTGGGAATTGATAGGTGTTAAAATTAGCAAGCTATTTGATTAATAAAACTCTTATCAATTTTAAACTTTTTGTGATTTTTCAGAAAAGGACGATGGTGACGAGTCTTCTCCGAAGAAACAAAAAGCAGAAGGATAAATTTTGTACAGAATATACCATATAATGGTGTCATGCAACATTTCTGTTTCTTATGTGTTATGTCATGTAATTTATATACATATATTTTTTTCTAATAAACGTCAAACTTGTATGAATTATAATATAGAATTCTTTTTGTTGAATACAACAGCCGCTGGGTATTAGTAACATCATAAATTGTACAGCACGTTTATGCTGAAACTCAGTGTGAAAGTCATTACGTCTTGAAGACTTAATGCTAAATCTTGGCACTATACCAGGACCAGCCAATTCCTCAACCGTATCGGCATGTTGACCCTCTGATTCACATTCCAGATGTAACAAGTTCATCATCGAACTCTACAAACACCCGACAACGACCAAATATTAATTATTCATATAAAATAATGTGAAATTACTATCATAATTCTGTCATGGCATTTAAAATTATAAATGAGGAAAATGAATGCTAATTAACGGTGTTAACGTTCTAAACAAATTACAGGTATAACATTTCCTCTCAGGGTTTAAGGTTTTAAATTAACTACTTCAGCATTAAATGTTACCATAGCTATGTAATGATTGATCCTGACTTTCATTCTTTGTTTCTTGTATATTGGTAATTTCAAAACTTATTTTCGAACATTAACGCATCGAGTGATAATAGGACGACATTTTAATGAAAATTGCTATAATCAAAGTCACTTAATAGTACAGTTTATTGTTATCTTACCTTATTGTTGCATCGATTGAGTTTATGTAATATTTAGCGTAATAATTTATAATGGCTGCATTTCTTCCTCGTTTTTATTTGAATGTTACAAATCTTTGGATTGAGCTGCAGTATTAAGTGACCGCTTGCTCTTATTTCTGAACGTACAATGTAACATCTGCTTTAAAGTTCTTTCTTTTGTAAGGGATTTTCACAAATATGGAGGATGTCCTGGAAAGATTTCTGGTATTGCATCAGTTTTATTAGGCCTAAAAGTATTAGCTATTAAACTGTTATATTACTAAATAAACAAACAGTGTAATTAAATTTCATATTTTCTAAACATTTGCATTAACTGATGTCCATATATATTACATCATCATTTAACAGACAGTCTAACACGATGATCAGACAAGCTAATGATATTCATCTGTAAAGAATAAAAAAAAGTCCGACATGCCACTGTTTGCCAGATATTCATTAATAGCGGTTGTTCTGCATCTCTTCTACTACGGGAGTGCACTGCTGTTTGTAGGCATTTAGGAACGATGGTGAAAGAAAGAACAAGATAGCAGTGTCTATACCTATCAATGATATTGTGATGGCGGGAGCTATGATGTTAAAATATGTGTTTTTGCAAATATTTGAAGCGGATTCTTCTGCATCCGATGAAAAATCAGATGAGTCACAGAGACGAGCATATGTTCCTCGGATATAAAAATTACATCACCGAGATTGCTCCGTTATACAGGAAGGATAAGAACCATTCAGAAAAAAAACTCCACTGGAGGATTACTCTATTAATTTTTTTTTTCTTTTTTCAGCTCTAGTACTTCAAATCTCACTTTAGGCTCAGTAGGGCTTCATTTGAAGCACTCAGTAATTTACTGATGCCAAAAATTACTAATCATGCTGTTAACAGGGCAGGGAGACCGTCTTTGACAGCTTGTGATAAGGTGCTGATGACCTTGTGGTTTTTGGGCAACCGTGAGGCAATATAGGTAAATATTAACAAGTATTACGGAATAACGCCAACCAGTAATTTTGCAGTTTATGTCGATCAACATTAACTGCAAAAAACTACAATTTATCATCTTAAGTTTTCATCTAATCCAGTCATCTTCAAAAGAGTTGACTTTTTTTTTTTTTGCTCATAGTTTATTTTTGAGATAACATTTTTTATATCTATTTTTTAAGATGACTAATTGCATTTTAGGCGTCTGATATCTGTTAAAGTACTGTATAGTGAAATCTTATACAATATTGACAGATGTAAATTGCAGGATTACCCTCTAATCTCTTTATAGTAACTTCCATGTAGTAATAAGATATTTAATATATTGTAGGTCTGTTGGTGACAGGTTTGGTGTATCCAAATAAACATTATTTTGTGCTGTGCAAACAGCATGCGCTGCTCTCTCAGAACTTGCACCAAAGTTTATAAAATGGCCTTCAGGAGATTAAGTGCAAGAAATTATACAAAGTTTCCACAACGAGAGTGGTTTTCCAGGGGTAGTAAAAGCTATTGATAGCACCCACATTGGAATTCCAGCTCCACAGATACATGCAGTTGCGTATGTAAACTGCCACGGCTACCATTCTATAAACTTGCAAGGTATGTGATGTCACTTTTGATACAAAGTGATCTAGTCAATGAATAGAAAATTGTTCTGTTATGAATTATGTAGTTCTATACAGTAATACAGACAATCACTTTCTATGAATTTTCTTAATTCAATCTGAAGTTCTACAGTACAGATCTGTACTCTAATGATGCTAAACTCAACTCTCGTGTGACAATTCTATGATTTTCATCTCCTGTCATGCGGTGGATGTGGATGTGTCCATGATGCCGAGATTTATGCCCGCTTTACGTCCGCTGTACATTATCTGGAAAAATAGCCAGGGAGGATGAAATAATGTTTCCATATGACTCCCATATTGTTGAAGATGGTGCTTATCCCATAAATAAGCAATTTATGAAACTATCAAATTATCCTGACAATGGGCATTTGACAGCTGCTCAAGTCCGGTACAATAGCAAATTATCATCAGCCAGAAGTATTATTGAACGGTCATTTGCTCACCTGAAAGATGATGGAGAAGACTGCATTATTTAGACATGTTAAAAATAGAGTCGATACCATCTGTTGTAATGGCTTCTTGTGTCTTACAAGAGGGGACATCCTACAAGAAAATACTGAATTGGAAAAAGTACATTAATTTTTTTATCCTAAGTTTTGGTATTATGTACTATACAGCACATGTACAACAAGTGTAACATTTTCAATGTTTTCCAGGATCCAGGCAATCATAACCTTGGAGTATATCAGAGATCATGTGTTATTGAGCAAAAGCAAGGTGGAAAGGCAAAGCGTGACAGAATTGCCCAAAACTTATAAACCAAGATATTTAGTAGTAAGCAAAAGATTCCACTAATGCTATTTATTAATTATGTACTGTACCTTAAGAGGAAAGGAGTAAATAATTGATTATATTCTGGTATTGGATAAAGTGGAGTTATGAACTATTTATTTATGGTTGATTACAAACATTTTGCATACAGTTTATGGAAATCAAAAACTACTTTTATTACTCTTTTTGTTTTGTAACATTTCCTATTTTTTCGATGAATTGTTTAAATAAATTATTAAATTCATCCATCCTTTGCAGGTGTTCCTCATGCCGCTGCTGTTTTGCAGTCTCACGTTTGACATCTGGCAGTAATTTTCTTTTTGGACATTGGACTGGTGATGGAGATGCAGATGCAGATGAGCAGCTTTCACTGCTATGAGTGAAAGGTGATGCCACATCAGGACATTCACTGAGCCACTCATCCATGTTACTTTAATAACACCACATCCTCCTGAAAAAAGACCACAATATATTTAGTATTGAGAAATATAAGTGAAATTTCAAAAAAAATATAAAAAAAAGTCATCTGTTGTTGCCAGATGTACAGGATGTCCACCATGAACCTGACACATTTGAAACGTAAAAAATCTACTGTCAGTAAGAATGTAAAGTAATGCACATTTTATGATCAAATACTCAAAAAGTTTTATTTAAAAAATCAGTGAATCTCTACATGAGCTCCTTTTGTTGTATGTAGAACATCGAGTCTATACTCCATTTCCTGCCAGGTTCTTTCAAGCACCTCGGGTGTGACGGCAGCAACAGCATCGTGAATGCACACACGAAGATGTTGAAGATCACGAATTTTAACATCGGTGTAAACCTTGTCCTTGACAAATCCCCAAAAGAAAAAGTCTAAAAGCTTAATATCCGGCGATCGAGGAGGCCACAGTATCAGTCCTCCGCGCCCAATTCAGCAATAGGGAAACTGCGTCGAGGAAACATCGAACATACAGGCTACCAATGTAGAGGGACACCTTCCTGCTGGAAATTAAATCTATTAAATGAGGAAATTTGTTTCAGCATACCACCACACAGATTACACCCGCTCTTGCACAAAAGCCATTTTGCATTTGACTACTACCATGCCCCTTACAATCACTTTGACAGGTTTTCAAAATTACGTATACAACTTTCACAGTTTCTCCGCCTAATGGAATCCCACTGCTAACCGGTCGCCGGCCGTTCTCGGCTACAGCGACACTCCAATGTCCGGTCATACATGATATGTGAATTGTCTNCTAATGCTATTTATTAATTATGTACCTTAAGAGGAAAGGAGTAAATAATTGATTATATTCTGATTTTGGATAAAGTGGAGTTATGAACTATTTATTTATGGTTAATTACAAACATTTTGCATACAGTTTATGGAAATCAGAAACTACTTTTATTATTATCTTTTTATTTTGTAACATTTCCTATTTTTTCGATGAATTGTTTAAATAAATTATTAAATTCATCCATCCTTTAAAATGAATGCTAATTAACGGTGTTAACGTTCTAAACAAATTACAGGTATAACATTTCCTCTCAGGGTTTAAGGTTTTAAATTAACTACTTCAGCATTAAATGTTACCATAGCTATGTAATGATTGATCCTGACTTTCATTCTTTGTTTCTTGTATATTGGTAATTTCAAAACTTATTTTCGAACATTAACGCATCGAGTGATAATAGGACGACATTTTAATTTGATTGAGCTGCAGTATTAAGTGACCGCTTGCTCTTATTTCTGAACGTACAATGTAACATCTGCTTTAAAGTTCTTTCTTTTGTAAGGGATTTTCACAAATATGGAGGATGTCCTGGAAAGATTTCTGGTATTGCATCAGTTTTATTAGGCCTAAAAGTATTAGCTATTAAACTGTTATATTACTAAATAAACAAACAGTGTAATTAAATTTCATATTTTCTAANTCACTTTGGTCTAAAATGTGTGTGTCTACCCCTCGATGTTGTGAGGAGGACGTCATGTCTTATTTAAACCCGCCTCTTACCCGTCGCCGGCCG